GGTAATTAGGGGCTTAACTCCGAACGGATTGACAACAGCGAGCGTCTGCTGCAACTGTGTGCGGAGCAACAGTTGTTTGTTAGTAGCACTGCTTTTAGACACAGTGGGCGCCGAAGTGCTACTTGGCGTCCTCCTGTAACTTGCCAGTGATGAACGCAAATTCAGCACATAGCCATAAGTTACAGATGTCGTGGTTCCATCCTGGATTGCCGCTCGTGCGGAAGTACCTGTGTCGACTCTGATCATGCCTTGGTACGCTGTCGTCCCTCCATGAACTTTACCGGGAGGCGCACAAAGCGTCCCTACGATTGGCAACGGAGAAGTTGTTTCAGCCCTCGGTCAGGCAAGCCTAACAAGACGCACGGCGTACCGAACTTCCGCTGGCTTGTCTTAATGACACTGAACTTCAGTGGAATAGGATCTCGGCCGCCATGTACGACGCAGGAACATCTGTTTTTGGCACTATCAGTCGTCACCGCATCAGTCACTGCATATCCGAGAGGTCCGTGAACATGTTCGAATCTAGAAGACACCTCCTGGCTGGTTCTGAACACAATGTGACCAGACGGGATATTAGGTGTGAACTAAAGCAGAGCCTACGTGCTGACAAGGAAGCCTGGTGGACCAGTCGGGCTCAAGAAATGGAGGAGACAGGAGCAGTAGGCAATTACCGCAAACTCTTCTAGCTAATTCGCACCACTGGTCCCAGAAAACCAGGCGTCAGTGAGACAATCAGAGACAGCGCGGGTGCGCTATTACAAAATAAGGAGCGCCTTATGGCTCGTTGGGCTGAACACGGAACATCAGTTTGGCTGGCCCCCTGCCCCCGGACCTCTTCCTACTCAGGTGATGCAGGACGAGCTAGGGACAGTTAGTTTAGAGCCTCTGTCAGAGGCAGAGGTCCGAAGCGCGATCACGGTCCTCAATCGTTTTCGTGCCGCTGACCCGGATCCCCTCCCACCTGCACTATTTAAGGATGGAGGTGAGGTCCTCTGCAGGACACTGACCTCCCTATTCCAGCGTATCTGGAAGTGTTCCGGCTAATTGGAGCGAATCGCTTATAGTGGCAATATACAAGAAGGGCAGTCGCACAGACTTTTCTAACAACAGGGGTATTAGCCTAACGCCAGTTGTGACATAATTATTGGCCTCGATTATCCTTCGTCGACTCACTGCGGAACGGGAACCTAGAAGTAGGGAAGAGCAAGCCGGTTTCCGCCAAGGACGTGGCTGTATAGACCATATATTCACACTGCGGTAGGTGCTAGAGCAGCGCCACGCATACCGCAGACCGACAATAGCTGTGTTTCTCGACTTCTAGAGTGCGTTCGATTCAGTCGATCGATCGATTCTGTTCGACATAATTGCGCGAAAATGTTCCCACGAAATGTGTGAACGTCCTTCGTACTCTATACTCGAACACTACAGGCCGCGTCAGGGTCTATAGTGTCCTAGCGGATAACTTTTCGACTACAAGTGGCGTTCATCAGGGTTGTCCGATTTCCCCGTTTTTGTTCAATTTCGTCGTGGATTCTATCATGGAGTGTTCCCTTGCGGAATCTCATGATGTAGGCGTTGAAGTGCTGCCTGTTGTAAGGATAGCTGACCTAGATTATGCGGACGATATTGTCTTGCTTTTCGACAACGTTGCGAGGGCACACTCAATCCTGAATAGCCTATCCAGACTGGTCCCATTATTTGGTATGCACCTCACAACTTAAAAGTACAAAATGTTGCTGCAGGACCACTGGCCACTTGATGACCCCTTGGCGCTTGCTAACGAGGAACTCGAGGTGGTTGATCAATTCGCTTATCTTGGCAGCTGCATCAGCAATGATGGGCACATAGAAACTGACGTCAGCTCATGCATTGCAAAGGCCAGAGCTGCCTTCTTGAACCTGCGTCCTCTTTGGCGACAGAACGGAGTTTCCCTCCGTCTGAAAGGCCGTGTATACAAGGCCACAGTGAGGGCCGTTCTGCTCTATGGTAGTGAGACTTGGCCCCTTCGGTCTGAAGATCTAAAGCGCATTCAAGTCTTTGGTCATCGTTGTCTGCGAAGCATTGCTGGTGTCGGATGGCACCAGCGTGCCCGCAACAATGATGTGCATAAGCGAGTACTAAGTACTGATAATCATGCCAGCTCCATAGAACAACAGATGGCACTGAATAAGTTGCGTTGGCTCGGGCACGTGCTACGTATGCCTAATCACCGCATAACTAGGAGGGCCTTGTTCAATCTACCAGGTGTCGGTTGGCGCAAGGCTCGAGGTGGACAGACGTTGACTTGGCAGCGGGAAATGAAGTCACTGATGACCAAAATGGGTGCCGTTGGCCAGTCTCGCCTTCCGAGTTGGAGTCCACGTGACTCGCTTGTGCTTGGCTCGAGACTTTACAGGACATGGCTCACAACTTACAGCATTGGAGCGTCTGCTACCGTCTTCTAATCGGATCGTCTGTTTAAAGTGAGTTTGGTGCAGAGTTATCTGCGGGGTAATGGCTGATTACGACGCGTGGCAGTGAAAGCCGCAAGGAAGCTGTCTCGCCGATGACGCCTTGTCTTTACAGGATATCCGCTGTTTGTGAAGGTATGTTGTCTACACAAGGTGTAGGCGCCTTGACCCTGAATGTTTGCATAGGGCATTAAGGTTTTCAGGTAAGTCCCCCTTCTTTCCCTCCTCTTTTTCTTCATTTCAGAGGTCGTTATGGTTGTATGGCAGCGAAGCATCAGTTCAAGTGGTTGATGTACTGCTGTTGATGATGATGATGATGAGCGCCTGATCAGTATCAAGGTAGGTATACAAAAATGGTCTGTAGTCCTGTATGCTACCTCCCCACCTGAAACTGGTTGCAATATGACCGATTCGAGACCAAGCCTGCATTGTGGAAGAAAAACGCCAGGTCGCAGAACGCCTCCTTGAGTGTCTGAAGTTGGCGCATGCAAGAAATAAGCCATCATCTTCTCACAAAGTGAGAAGCCTGTTTCCGTTATCGGAGCGATTCTTCTGCAATTCGTGGTCCCCACCTAGGAGATATTCACCTGGCAGTAGGCGACCGACGCGTGCATTTGGTGGCTTTGCGCAAAAGCTGGTGAATTTGGCAGTAAAATCGTCCTTGATCGATTTACAGCTACGGTCGGTTGGTGCATGGGCGGATACCATGAACAGGTTGCACCATGCAACGTGACGACTGTTAACTCTGCACGAACCTTTAAGCCGAACTGCACATGAATTGCTGTTGAGTGATATTCAGTCCAGCTGTGTGGCCTCGGCTTTACGGCTTAATGCCACACCAAGGCCTGTCAAACCAGCTGCAATTGCTTCTGCGTCGCCAGAAAGACGTAGGTGGTATGTAGCACCCTGGTTCGTAGGGGAAATCAACTTGAGCACAGTGCTCGGGTCTTGCAATTTAGTTTCGGAAAGACGGCATATATCAATAGCGAGTGAGTCAAGAGTGCATGTTTAACAGGCCTGTTGTTTAATCTTCAAGAGTTCGACCACTGAACCTTACCAGCGGAAACGAGTATCGGGGTCGAACGGTAGCCTCAGGCCGGACTCCGTGGGTGGCATCGAAACCGGTGTAGAGATTAAATTGTGGGTAACAGTAATTGACAACAGACAAATAATTGGCGTGTGAGAGATTGGTGAGGCAACGGGAAGAGGAACAAGAGCGTGCGACGAGGTAGTGGTGTTATCCATGGTTTCTGCAGCAAGCCCAAGTATGGAGTTGTCTTACGAGGCTCCACCGCAAGCCTTTAGATCGACAGCCTACTCACAAGGCAGGGGGCGAATTTAGGAAATTGCGCCCATTGTGAGTCGGTGACCGATTTTTCGGTTCACAGGCACTTGGTTTGGTAGGTCAGCAATCCTCTCCAATAATTTCAGCACAAGACTGGTAAAATACAATGATCCCCTGGGCTTAAACAAGGGGCAGTGACCTTATTTAGTGGCGAGTCACATCCGCCATGTCGTAGTGCTGTTAGACGGACATGTGACCAAGCGAAAACCCACCACATTCTGGAACAGTGCGCGCAGTATACTCAGTTGCCTAGCCTGGTTCGTCAAAATGGATCTACCCAGAGAAGCGAAAGTCTGACTCGAGATTTGACATTTGAAGCGATTTAAGACTGTCGGCTCAGACTGGGCTTCCACCGGAACTGTTCGGGTACGATGGAGTAGCAAGCATTAACCCGCTAACTTCGTTGTTCGCATACATCTGAAATGAAAATGTACCGCTCGGGGAGATAGATAGATTGTACTATATCCCAGTTAGCTTGAAATTATGTAGCCCAAGCCAACGACTGAGTGGCTTAAGCTGCCGGCTAGTTTGCATCTGCCTCTACCGATTATGGGTTCGATCCCCGACCGGAGGAATGCGCATCACGGACGAGCCCCAATAGGGCGAATCGCGTCTGGTGCTTTTCCAGACTAGGCTGTGGTATGTAGCTTGTGAACTACTGAGATGAAAGCTTAACAAAAATTACAACAAAATCCTGCTACTCGCGAGTAATATAAAGAATCAATTATTGGCAAGGTTTTCAAGAAAGGCGCTCGTAATTCATGCGTCAAGTATCGAGAGATGTCTCATACGGTTGCCTTTAGGAAATTAGTAGACATCCTGCTTCGAATATCCCCAATTCGCGATTATAATACCATGAAGAACGTTGGTTTCCATCCCGGACTAAAATGCGTGGGTCAAATCCACACGATTTACTAACTTTTCGAACACCGTTATCTTTACCGGAGAACCACAATCGCCACATTTTCAGACATATAAGCTGCACTCGACTAGGCTTATCGACCTGCTTTATGGCGTTGTTCGATAAAGGGCAGGGTCTTAGAAGTATAACGCCATTCTACGTGCACGTTGCCTTCAGGTTTTCGGTACAATGAGAGCATTCCGCAAATATAGTTATATAGAAGCGAACAACATATGGAATTGAGCAACTACGACTCTAACACGCATAACAGTATTGTTGCGGCAAGAATAACCAAAATACTTACATGCGTCTTTTACCCACAAAATCGAAAAATCCCGGGGGTAGGGTTTTGCTTCTATCACATTTTCCGTACTTCGCTTGCAAACCAAGTGCAGAAAGGTGCATACGATCATCAAATGTAACATGGAAAGCCTTATCAGCTTTCTCTTTCGAAAGGGTTGGTCAAGTGATTTGGATTACCTGCAAAAAACTTGAGGGTAATGTTATATATAGTGTCTAGGTCAAGCCCGTATGTATTGGTGATGTCGGTTGGACTGTTCACAGCGTCCAATTGGTCGCAGCTGGACATACAGAATAAGCTAATGTGGGCAGACCGTCGAATACGCCAACAGGGATTAATGGGATTCTGCCAGTGTTACTATGGTACAGCATCCATGGGGTAAGGGAAAATGCTATTATCGACGTACGGGACTGCCCAGTAGTAGCAGACCTAGCAGGGTACTTTATAGATGGCGAGGTTTGCTGGTTGATTGGACTAGAGTGAAGCAAGTGATCTCTAGACTCGGTCATTCTAGTCTGGTGTACTTTTAGAAGCTGTGTTTCAGTGTGCTAAAAACTATCAATCGCCTGCCGCCGATTCGAATCATTGTAATCATTGTAATCATTGTATTATAGAGAGCAGAAGGAAAGACCTTTGTCAGCTCCATCACCTCCCAATCATAGCAGGTGTTGGCGCAACAGCAATTAACAAGTTAAATTGTCACAGTTACATAAGAAACAACAAGATCCCTGCAAATTCAAGAGGTATAAATCCAACAATCGTTTAAAACATTCTTCCGTATGCGCGTTGACGACGGAATTAGGCAAGCGGTTCCAGTCGTTCACCACACGAGTCGATAGTGTAAAATCAGAGCGAAGTCTGGGTCTCCTAGGTTTGAACAGTTTCCAGCAGTGGCCCCGAGTCGAACACTCAGTGTTAACCTGGAAGAAATCTTGGAGCTCGTTTCCTATCTCGCCTCGCAGAATGCGCCGAGCGTAGATCAGATCGCCTCGGCGACGCCGATATTCCAAGGAGAACATATTCAAATGCTGGAGACGAAGGTGATATGGCAGGTGTCGGAACTCAAAGACATACTTAGAACCGCGTCGCTGAACTTTTTCAATCAAGCCATGTTCAAGCTTTGAAAGTGGATGAACTGCGGGTAATCCATATTCGAGGATTGGACGCACATGGGAGGAAAAGATAAGTCTGAAGATTTCCGGCGTCAATCGTGAGAAGGCTCTTCGGATAGAACACAGTAGTCTGTTAGCCGCAGCAACCTTCTTCAAAGTATCTTGGGTGGTTTTTAGATCACAGCATACTATAACACCAAGGTCTCTTTCCTGTTTCACATCATTAAGCAAATAACCACCAAGGTGGTAAACACCGAATGGTTCAGTAGCACCAATGGGGAGTACAGAACATTTATCGTGATTTATAGGCAACTGCCATTTAAGAGACCAATCGTGCAGCCGATCCAGTGTATTTTGGAGGCAGTCAGCATTCTCAGCGCTGGTTACCTCCATCCATAACTTCAAATCATCTGCATAGATCAAGCATTCGGTCTGGAGGGTTGAAGGCAGGTCGTTAATGAAGAATTTGAACAACTCTGGTCCAAGAACAGAGCCCTGAGGAACGCCACTGCTCATAAGGACGGAGGGTGAATACGTATTGTTGACCTTAACTCGCATAATTCGGTCTGAAAGGAAATCCGAAATCCACGACAAAACCCTCCCAGAGACACCAATTGCTTGAAGTTTGAACAAAAGCCGCTCGTGAGGAACTTTGTCAAACGCTTTGCTGAAATCTACGTAGATAACATCCATACGTTTGCCAGCATCCAGAGAGTTCGCCCATTTCTCTCTGGCAACTAACAAATTGGTGGTACACGAGCGTGACTTACGAAAGCCATGCTGAGCAGTAGAAATCACATTCCGGTCTTCGAAGTAAAGGCTGAGAGCTCCCTTGAGAATCCGTTCCATAATTTTACACATTACTGATGTTAGGCAAACGGGACGATAGTTTGCTGGGTCTTGGCGGTTCCCTCCTTTAAATATGGGCTTGACAATACCCAGCTTCCAGGCTGATGGAAGGCGTCCGGATTCAATAGAGCAACGAAACACATGACAAGCTGGGGCTGCAATGTACTTAGCCACGGTCTTGAGAAACAGTGGGTGCAGGCCATCAGGACCGGGCGAGGTGTTCGGATCTAACTGAAGAAGGAACTGAGTAACAGTTTCCGTACTGATCTCGAGATGATCCAGCAAAGATGAGCATGGGAGTACTACGTCAGAAAACGGAGTTTCATTGGTAAAAACGGATGAATACTGTTGAGCTAAGAGATCCGCTTTCGCAGCATCCTCCTGAAGTAAGGCAGCGTGTTCACTGGAATACAGAGATGGAATGCCATTACCACCTTTGGTACCCCTTTTCAGATATGAGAAGAACATTTTGGGGGAGCACCTGGACTGCACAGCTAACTGTAATTCGTAGTTTTGGCGATTCTCCCGCTTCTTCAGGATACAAAGGTTCCTAAGCGTTTTGTACTGCAAGTAGTCGGCCGTCGATTGTGTACACTTGAATCGATCCCATAGTTTGCGTCTTTTATTCATCAGAGACCTCAACTGTTTGTCAATCCAAGGAGGACCACTTGTTAGACCTCTACTTTTAGAATGCCCGTAAACACGGTTAACGAAATGCTGTATATGTAGTAAATCAATACGACAATAAAATAACAACCACATATGTGCAGTATTGCACAGTGCGCGCATTGCAACGTTAAAAGTCAAATTTTGGTTGCCTGTTTTCATGGATGCTGTATGTAACGGATTCGTAGTCTTGGAAGTCCGTTAAGACATTGGATTTCCGCAACAAAAACCATAAAAGCTATCTTTTGTGCCAAGCTTGTCGGCACGAGCATCCGTTAAGAGTCCGTGGGGCCTTCTATGCGTCTTATCGGCGTCCTGTCTGGATGTGGTTAGACACCAAACGAACACAGAAAAATGTGCAGCAAAACGGTTTTGAAATGCATGCAAACTAGTGCTCACTTAATCAGCTGTACATGCTGTGTTGCAAAACTGCCAATGCTCCACTCGAGTTACTATTCCTCTACGTACCTGTATTGAAACATCAAGTGTGCAATGCATGCAGCTATATTTGCCCTAAACATGCGCAACAGTAATGCAACATTAGTAACTAACGTATCATTTATTCACTATGATGTAGAAAATATAAGCGTACTGTTGCTGAGCCCATTTATTAAAAGTACCTGTTGTCCACTGAGAGTCTGGTCCTGGATCACTTAATTAGTCTCCAACAGTGCCGACTGGTGATCCTCGGAAGGTTATCGTAGGACGCATTATTAATATAATGCAATAAGTATCAATTGGGGATTGTGAGTTTCGTAGCAGTTGTTACTTCATCGTAACCACATTTAAGTGGCTTCTTTAGAAGCGAAGATTTTGTAAAATCATGGGAAAATTATGCAGAATTATGGTAGCTATGTATTATCACTCTATCCAAACACCTAGAGGGCGTGCCCTTCCATTGAAGCGTGCTTTTAGCCACCCGCGGAAAAGCGAAAGGATTTGTAGACAAATGGCTTTATTTATCCTAGACGTTGTTAACTAGTAGTCTAAACCCTTATCGGCGCCGTTTATAGCATAAAAATCTTTCTTTTTAACCGTACTTTCTCTCAGCGCAAGTGATCTTTAGAGCGCCAAGCGTGACGAATAATTCGTCACCGTGGTAGTAAGTACTTAAGAGTCTGTAATAGAGTTCCGCGTAACGTTGCCGGAATATGCATCCCTTCCGCGTGAGCAGCGAAAATGTGTGCCCAATGAGAGCGTTGTAACTCCCTAAATGACCAAATATTTGACCCCCAGCAGTCTAAATGTACACCTTATGGACGACATTTTGGTACCCAAATATTTTCCAACACTTCATGAAATTCCGAAATGAAATTTTCAATGTTGAAATATCGTAAACATGAGGCGGAAAACTACCTACTAATTGTAATTACACAATGCAATAGCCGTTCGTCCAAACCCTAAATGAATTTTTATGACCAAAACTCGGCCAAACGAAATCAAATTCGGATGACATTTAGTCAAACCGTACGTTTTATTTGATGTTACATCGCCACATATCGTGTGCGTTCTACCGTCGGAGCCTCTGTACTACAAGCACAATCCTCGGAGTCAAATGCAATTACAACGCACTTGGGTCCAATCCCATCGGCACTAAATGTACCACAGCTAGAGCCTATATACAAGGAGCACGACCCTTGGAGCGGTGTGTTAATACCACTTACCTGGGTCCTAGTACATTGGCACGAAAGCTGCCACTGATGGAGCCTATATACTAACAGGACGAGGCTTGGAGCCGTGTGATCTTACCACCAACCAAGGTCCTATTACATTGACACAAAACATGCACTGATGGAGCCTATATACTACCAGCACGAGCCTGGGAACCGTGTGCTATTATAACCCACCTTGGTCCTAGCACGTGGGCAACAAACGTGCCACCGCTGGAGCCTCTATACTACGAGCACCAGCCTTGTGTAATTACAACTCACCTGGGTCCTGGTACACTGACACAAATGTGCCACTGATTGTGCCTGTATACTCAGAGCACGATTCTCGGAGCATGGTGCACGGTGCAACCGCTCTAGTTCCCACTACATGGGCACCAAATGTGCCGCCGATGGAGCCGCTATTTAAAGCTCGCGAGCCTTGAAGGCGTGTGCTATTATAACCCAACTGGGCCCTATTGCATTTACACCAAATGTGCCACTGATGGAGTCTTTATACTACCAGCACGAGACTTGAGGCCCGGTGCGCAGTGCAACCGTCCTATTTGCTTCTAGTTCGATACCAAACCTGCCACTGATGGAGCCTATATACTACGAGCACAAGCCTCAGAACCGTGTGCTATTACAACCCTCCTGGGTCCTATTACGTTGGCAGCAAAAGTGTCGCTAATCCAGATAAATGTCAAAAATGCTTTGATCCCGAAGGAGTGCAGAAACCGCGATAACAACTGTGCTTTGTATTTAACAGAAAGAAGCGAGAAAAGGTTCAGCGTTGTTCACTGTATCCATGTCTCGGACGTGCATGGCCCATGCAGGGTATCATTACACAAAGTTGCAATCTTCGGCTTAAATATAATAGCAGTGCGAACGTATAGCCTACTGTCAGGCAATTGACGGAGAGTTTTTACCTGAAGGTTTTTCCCTCTCAGCGTCTTCGTTAATGGGCAACCATCCATGTCCACGCTACAATAAATTGAAAAGAGTAGTTTAAATTGCACATAATAACTTACTTTAGCACTGCGTTCCGCACAAGACCTCTCGTTGTGGGGAACTCGACTGCTCCCTTTCGACAACCATCAGTACCAAATGCAGGAGCAATATGA